CCTAGACAAACGTCTATATATATTTGGTTAATATGTAATGTTAAGCAGTGTATTCATGATGTACATATAGCTTGTGTTATTCACATATTTCTTATTTCTTGTGAGAACCATGGTACGTGGGATTGTCAAGTGTCTTCATTATGCATACAGTGGTTGTATTTACTCTGTTCATAAAACATAAATTACATATATTGTATGCTGTATACTAGTGTAGTTTATTCTGACCATACACAACTCAGTCATTCAAGCAAGCACTACTGATATGACTAATATGACTAATATGATATATGTTTGTGCAATGCACTATTTAGCCCTCTGTGGTGCTCTTAACCCAACACACGCCTTACAGAACGATATAGTTTTTCACTTTCCCGGGCGATTTTTTTTCGGCACCAATCAGATTGTATAAACGTCAGATAGTGACATCCGCGGCAGAGTTTATTACTGCCCAATGTTTATCATCTTGTTGATCTTGCCGACGAGACGTACACTATTCTGTCAGTAGTTAGTTGGGTTTGATGCCGTTCGGCAGCGAACACGCCACTCACACCTACATGTCCCAGTATGCACTATTAAAATAAAGAAAATACGGTAATCCTGTCATGAAGACTGTTACTTTAATAAAACACTTACTGTATCCTATACTGTGAAGTATTTTCACTGAAAGGATGATTCAGTGAAAATAAAATCCAGTGAATATACTTTTTTCTCTGTTTCACCACAGTCCCTCTATGATAAGAGCATTTGATCGAAACGCATATAAACCAAAAATTACATTTGTTGTGTACTTACCCGGTACTCATCACAATATTACTTTTCTGTAATTTACATAAAGTGCTATTAATTGAGAAAATACGGTACTCCCATAAACCAATCAGTTCCTGAAACTATGATTGGAAAAAATGACTCATCGTTTTTAAAATGCATACTAGCCAGATAAAAGCATTTAACTTTTGACCCAAATTGCCTGGCGAATGTGAAGATGACACTCTGAAGAAAGTAATTATTTGAGATTGCAATAAACTCTGAGTTATCGATCAAAGTCAGCTTATCGCAGTTTATTTATCTTTTTCTCAATTACTTATACAGTGTTGTATACTTGTATTAACCTTTGAACTCCAAAATCAATTTTGTAACCTTTTTACACATTTTGTTTTTCTTTATTTTGGCCTTGGTTTTTTTTTTTTGCATCTGTGCTTGCATTCATGTGTGCTTGCATCTTCTACTATATCTCAGACATACCTGGGACGATCACATTCAAATTTCACACTTTACATCATACTTTATGAACACATCAATTCCCAATGGCTGAAAGACGGCCATTTTTGTACCGAACAAAGAAATTAAAAGTAGTTGCTTAGGCATTCACCTGTCCCAAACCCACGCTATAATATTAACAGCCGCTTGATTGGTGATTGGTAAATGTACTGGGAAACATGAACTTTTTCTGCATTCTAAATTTAAAATGAAGGAAAACTCATTTATATTGAAGAAACTGTCATGTCAGCTAATGTGAAAGTGAAAATTCAAAAAATGTGTTTTTTTTCTGGAATTTAAAACAAAATCTTGCTGTTTATATGATTGAAAGCCTGGTTTTAATATTTTGAAGTTAAAATTTGTTACGGACATATTGAATAGTGCATTATAGGGGTTGATATTGTTGTTGAGGACACATGGCTGCAGTGTTGTAATAAGCTAATTGTAATCATAATTAACATATTAGTTGTACTCCAAGAGGTGGGTCCCTTGTGTGTGTAATATAAAATGTGTTTACATAATGATCAAATGTGGTTTGTGCAACAACTGTCACTTGCCATTAGGAAATAATTTATATTTTTCAAATAATAATGTTACTCTCTTATACTCATAAAGTAGATTCATTGCCATATAATATTCTGCCCTGTATGTTGTTGAGTTTATTAATCTAATGCACCATACTGTAAATGTCAAATAAGGAAAACTGTCTTGAATTCAAATGCTGTCCAACCAGCAATAGTTCACAATTTGCAGATGGTGAATAATGGTATAATTTGAATAATCTAATTTACTTCTACATATATGTTTTGTCATTGATTTATTAAAACTAGTCTCAAGCAATGTAGTTCATTTTATTTGATAATCAGTGATTTTTCATTCACCGTAATATCTTGTCAATAAGCATGAAAAGTGTGGACTGAGCGTCTGCTGCAAAAATCAAATGGTTTGATTTTAAATTTCTTTTTTTATAATTTACCATCATCATCAAATGTGTAAACATTTTGTACATGTAGCACATTAATTATGGTGAAAATACCCCTAATACTTTCATCTTTGTTAAATCCCACACGCTATTTTGCCGTCACAAGACTCTATAAGCTATAATGTTGTATTATAGGCATAGCCTTGGGTTATCAAGTAGTCAAATTCTATCCCAAAAATAGATTTATGTTCTACTGGCGTAGTAATATCCTTGGAATACAAATAAGTTTATTAATTTATCGGCCAAAAAAATATAAAATAAAAGATTATAAGGTACTTATTATAATATAAATGAAAAATAAAATACTGTAGAATCAATTATTTTCACAACTGGTTTGAAATCCACGATTGGTTAGCTTGAAAAATTAAGATTTGTTTGCAGTACTGATATTTTAAATAAAATGGAGTGGTTTGACACATCTTTTTTTCTGTTTTGTTTTTGTTTATTTTTTGTTTTACAGAATTTCTTCAGAAACCTGAAACAAATCATTTATATTTTTTCCCTAAGTTAGGCATTTATCTGTTAACCCAATTGTGAATGAATGAAATTATAGTAAAATTATAATAATCTAGAATATTTTAATAGTTGATAATTAGATGTAATTTATTTATGATTCAGTATATAATTGCTTTCACCAGCAAATGTGAAATGTTCTAAATATAGCAGTAATTTATAATATGGAATACTTTTATAGGGGTTTAGTCTGTGAGACAGGTTTCTATATTTAAATGAATGATTAATGTTCATGTTGATGTGTTTTCACTTTGATGATGTCGTTTGCGATGTCTGTCCTCAGCGTATGGGGTTGCACGAACATTAGCTTTGGGGATTTATTGAGAAAAGGTATGTGTGGAGGTACATGTACATGTATGTGTGTAGGGGGGGGGGGGGTGATAATTTTACTTCTGTACTGTCAGTCAAGGTCATGCTAGTTTTTGTTTGCTTCATTGCATGACGGTGACGTTGTTTTGTAAATGTCATTCTTTATTATTATTCAGGTGTCTTATGTGAAATATTTATGTAAATCTTATAATTCTCCAGTAATGTGGAGTTGGAAGTTGTTTTTAGGTTTTTCAAATTGTATGAATTTATATTTTTGCATAAAACAAAGTTGACAATCAATTCTAATGTATACATACTAGTATAATATCGTAGTACATGTACACTTCCATATGGATGAAAGCCTTCAGAGTATGACACCTTAGTCTGCACTTTCCTTCAGAAGATTGGAATAAAAATAGCCGAATTGTTTGAGTAAAAACTGAAAATTGAATTTTGTCTGTTGGCTCCAAAATTAGGGTTCATTTTTCAAAAATATTTGAAAAAAAGTGAAGAAAAATTTGGGCTAGAAAGTCTGATGGGGAAAAAGGTTAGGCAAAAGTGTAATGTGAAATTATTTTACGTTTTAAATTTAAATCAACTTTCAGATAACGAAAATTTTCAATATACATGTATGCATGCGTTGTTCTTTTTTTTGGTACCTGCATGTATTTATAATTAACTTAATTTGTGATTGTTTTAATTGCTTCATTAGTTTATTACTTGTACTGAGATCCAATTCGTGATCATATTGATATAAATAGTATGGATAGGGTTGTTAAATTTATATTCAGTATTACTTCAATAATTAATAACTAATAAACAGAGGTACATGTACATTACTTAGGGTTTGCAACTACGGTGACATGATACCAAAACCCAGTTTCAGTCTCGCTCTCGCATAAGCGTTCCAACTCAGAAAAATTGGAATGCGCATGCCCGAGGCAACTAGGATACTGGAATGTCCAGGTGGATTAAAATAGCTGCTCACGATATGACGGATTACGATAATTATATTTTCTGTACATTTTTCGATGTATTACATTTTTTCACTATGAATGTGGTAATACATGTTTTATTATTTTATTACAAACCGCCTATGTCATGTCAGAAGGTCGTAGTGCCAGTCTCACTATCTACGAAATGAGACTTGAATGGGATCTTGACATGATGTCACAATACAGTACTATGCGCGTTGCAAACCCCAAGTAATGTACCTCTGCTATAAAACATATTATTTTAAGCTGACTTTTATTTTTGCTATTAGACCTGGTTACAAAGATCTTGAGAGTAAGGACACAGCTATAGCTTTATTGCCATAGTGTCTAGGTTTAGAATAATAGTGATGATGAAAAACAACGAAACACTATTTTAGAAGAAATAACAAATAATGCGTGGCTCTCAGATCTTGGCAATCATTTGAGAATAAATAATTTAAGATGTAGCTATTTACTAACAAAAAAATATAGAAATTTTAAAAAACTGCAAATTCTTGATATTTTGCCAAGTGAAAGGTTCCATCGAATAAATGGCAATGGGCCAATAAAAATCAGGGAAACCTGAACTTCTTTCTATGGAAACATTGGCTTTGTGATTTTCCCATAGTGTAAAACCAACTTTGTCGGGCATTTTAGATTGTAAAATGGGTCAAGTGTAATTCAAATCAGGTTCATAATTCAAAAACCAGTTTAAGAAGCACAAGTTTTTCTCTTCAGAATTTAAAACAGCCAATTACAAATAATAATATAGCAAAGTTTGCTTTCTAGCAGTGACTGTTCTTAAGCTTAATTAAAATACTACTAATTCAGGCATGGTGTGACTTCTGATCATATGGCATACAGGTACATACTTGTGTACTACTGTAATCCACCAGCTTCATTCACATACATTTTTGTCTTGTCTCTCCATTTCTCAATTTTAGTCATTGTTGTTTTTTTTCTAGGTGCAATGAATCAGCCTCATAAGCCTTTAAGGCATGAAAAGTCAGAAGATGAGGACGATAGGCCGAATTATGAGAAAATGACACCCAAGATTGTTATGTCAGAGGTCAGTATTTGTACATGTTGATTATAGTAAGGGAAGAGTAGGAAATCAAACTCGCGGTTTACCGCGGTCATTACCGCGGTGGTGGTGGGTGCTCGCCGGTCGACCGCATTTTATGCAAATTTATGCATAGATTCCATGACCCCGGTTTACCGCGGTCGTGTGCGGTAGGCTCGCATGGCAATTTACACCCTATTGTTAAGACTATGAATGGACACAATAGACTGGGAAACTAAAGGTTACTTGCCGCCAAGTTCAAATAATAAAATCGAGTGGTACCAGAAGATTGGAAAAATCGTCTATATTAGTTCGCAGAAGAACACTATTTTATTTTCACGAGTCTTGGTATAAAATCGCAAAGCAACCCAGAATAATGTAGACCCCACATAATGTAA